GTAGCTATGATCGTAAGGAAGATACTGAGATACCCTCTATGTCTTATAAGAAAGTTAAAAAAAGAAAAATAGGATGAGAAGGGAGGTGTTCTAGGGCAGATAAGTGTGTATATTCCCTGAAACAAGGCAGTTTAAGTTTGGGGATCTTGCAGGTCAATCTATGCGATGTGATTTAAAATTAAACTACATGATGGACTAGACTGAGGGTGTGGGAATGGTGATCAGAGGCTATACCGTAAGATGATGCATCTCAGAGATGAGAGAAAAAAAAAATCTCTAAACGGAAAACTACACTGTGCTCTAAGATCTGAAATTAAGGTTCAATATTATGGGTTCCTTGACATTTAGTGAAACCAACAGGGCCTCAAATTGCCTAAATGAAAGTTCCCCTCCAGACTGTACACTTGCAGATAAGGTCCACTATCAAACAACCATCTTCATCAAGGGGACAAGGGGCATACCTTGCTTATTCCTAAGTAGCAGATCTCTGTTCCCTTCCAGCTTGCAGAATTATTCAAAGAAGCTGATTACATGGTACCATGGGAAGTAAGGTCACCTCAACCTTTTGACACCAAACATTGCCTCCCACAGATGTGCTCATTCATTGTGTACCTCAGTGACCCTCACATTTTACTATGTAGCACATTGTGCCCTTCTCCCCTAGCCAAGTGAGTACACATGATTAATAACCAGTTGTCTGTCTCATCTTTGCAGTGTCAGGTGGTGCATGTTTGAAGTCCACATAACCATAGAGTGGAAGTTCCTTCCTCACCTCATGGGGTAAAAAAGAGGCCATTAAAACAAACTCTGATAAATTACTTTGGCATTGTAGATAATCCAAAAAGAAATCTCTACCTGGGGCAGTGTATTAACCTGTTAGGAATGCCCTAAGACAATAACACACACTGGGTGGTTTAAAATCAAATTTATTTTCTCATAGTTCTGAAGGCTGGAAGTCCAATGTCAAGGAGCTGGCAAGATTGGTTTCCTGTAAGGCTCCTCTCCTTGGTTCCCATATGGCCACCCACTTTATTTGGTTGTCCTTTTTCGTGTAAGAATCTCTGATGTCTCTTTTGGGCCCTAGTCTTTTTTTAATAAGGACACTAATCAGAGTGGGTTATGGCCCACCCTAATGGCCTAATTTTAATTTAACCATCTCTTTTATGACTTCATCTCCAACTATAGTCACATTCTGAGGTATGCGGCCGGGGGGGTGGGTGTCATGGCATCAACATACACTTTTTGGGGACACAATTCAGCTCCAAAAAAACAAGATTCAAAGGTGTCTTTGTTACTATCTCAATAAAGAAGAATATAGTTTACAAATAGGTGTTCTAAATATAATGACTCCAGGGTGTTTCAAGAGAAAAGGATGAACTCCCTTGAGGTGAAACCCCCAGAAGGCACTGTATTGTCACTTATTTGCTTTAAACTGGTGAAATCAGGGGTACCTGAGTGGCTCAGTGGGTTAAGCCTCTGCCTTCAGCTCAGGTCATGATCTCAGGGTCCTGGGATCAAGTCCCACATCAGGCTGTCTGCTTGGCGGGGAGCCTGCTTCCCCTCTCTCTTTGCCTGTCTCTCTGCCTACTTGAGATCTCTCTCTGAAAAAAAAAAAAAAAATTAAAAAAAAAAAAAAAAAGGAACTGGTGAAGTCAGAGTCCACTGAATTAAAAGAGCATTTTAATTAGAATATCTTGGTTACATTTTGGCAAATTCTAAGAGAAGGTTAGATTTTGGTGGGGAGGAAACAAATGAAAATAGAGGTGATTTGAATGGAAGGACAACTGGGAAGAATGTAAAGAGTAGGTCCCTGACAAAATGCAAGGAGTTTAAGTTGTATCCAGGTGGGGAAAGAAAAGCCACACACCAAAATTCAATAATAAACACTCTAATAGGGAAGGGATACTTAATTTTACTTGCTAAAGTGAATTTTTGGCTGATTTGATGTTCTTTTGTCTTTTGCCAGTCATCTTGACAGATGCTTTATAAACAGTACCTACATTCCTACAGTCTTACAATATAGTTTACCAAACTCAGCCGGCACATGAAGAACTGCAAATATGCTCATATTCACAAGGTGTTAAGTGTCAGAACTAGATTATACCCCTAGTGTGAATTCATCCAGGGCATACAGTGAGTTACCACTCCCATCCTGAAGCAGACCTTATGAAACTTTGTTCACTTTTCTTGTCACTACTTCGAAATATATCTCGGGGGGGGAAAAAAAGGAATATATGGCCGGAGCAGTAAGAATACCAAAATAAATGAGAAGTACGAATAATGAAAGGAAGGATAAAATATCTCCAAACAATGCATAGTGTTGTTTAACTTCAAAAAATGGCAGTCTCATGAAACTGTCTGGCTCAGCCTGGTTCCTATGGCAAGTATTTTAGAACAGAAGCTACCTAAGACGACAAGTCTGGGTAGTAGAGGGAAGGAATGGATCAGTGTAGTTTTTACTCTGATATTTCGCCACCCAAGCTAAGTCTCTTAATTGTCTTTCACCTTCCCCATCTCCTATCAGTCCTGGGACACAGACTCATCCTCTTTAAGATTTGCACGAGGGAGATCACTCAAAAGTTTGCAGGGATGTGGCATTGCTCTGAAAGCCTTTCATTAAAGAGACTGGAGCCAAGATGAGGACTGTATGAACAAAGCCTGATGAAAGCAACATGCAGTCACATAGGCAGTCACACAGCGACCTCCCCTCCCCTGCTCTTACATCTACGCTGTCAGACTGATGTCTCTGTAGGTAAAGTATCAAGGATGTGAGGGCCATGTAAGGGTGGTGGTGGAGAGAAGGGCTCAGGGTCCTAGATGAGTGTAACTGCCAATCCTGTATGACACTAAGGGTGTTCTCCACCCCAGAACAGAGGGGGCACCAGAGATCCCGCCCCCTTCTGCCAGCCTTGAAAGACCGTGTCGTTGGTGACAGGAAGAACAGCCTTCACTTCCTCTTGGGGCGTCTAAGGAAGGTACGAGACTTTGCAGTCGGCGGCCGCCTCAGGGCAGGCGAGGGAGGAATCCTCCCGAACCAAACACAAGGTGAGGAGGCTGATTAAGGACTAAGAGAACACCCTCTCCCCTCAACAGGCCTCCTTCTGAGGCCCCGCCGCCACTTTTGGTCCTAGCCGCCCCCCGCCTACCCGTCATGCCCGCGCCTCCCTACCCCCCCTACCCCCCCCCACCCTCGTGCACCAGTGCGCACATGCGGCAGAGCGGTTAGTCAGGCTGAAGTTGATTTCTCAAAGGTTGCAAGGTGAGGGCTTTGGTGGGAGGCGCTAGTTCAGTAGAGGGAGGAGAAGACCCTAACAAGAATCAAGGTTAGAAAACTTAGGTAGAAATTCTGACCGGAGCCATGCTAGCGGCTCCCGGGGAAAATAAGCATGGCGGTCGGTCAGGTGGGCCTGAGTTTTCCCTCCATATTTGAAGGACCAGGAAGCTGAAGGTATTGATGTCAGGGGAAGCGTACCATGCCCGAAGGAAATCAAGGGTGTGGAAATCCGAATTAGGACTGCAGGGACCAATAATTCTAGAACAATAAGGTGGCATAGAACTCACTGCGGCCATCAATCCTGGGGAGCTCCGGGGAAGGGCTGTCGGGCTTCTTGAGGATGAGAGAGCCATGGTCTGAGGGCCATGGCCCTAAGTTAGCAAATGAAAGCATTCAACTGGGAATCAGGGTAAGGACTCTGTGAGAACTAAAGGAATCTCTGTCCTGGTGACATATTGACTGACATTCATTTTTTTCCTATGGTGTCACATGAGAGTTGTGGGGGAGGAGAGTGTGTGCTGTTGGGGGGGGGGGGGGGAGAGATTTGGTTTAAAAAGGATTGTTTGCCCTCTGCAGTAGAAGGATTTCTAGATCTTTCTAAGAGTTAATGTGAGGACCAAGACGTCTGAAGAGAACAACCACAGTGAGAGTACAAGAGAAACCATCCCCAGTTCTTAGCCTTGGAAAACAATGGGCAGGGAAGACAATTCCCATATTCTCACAGGTGGTGTAAGGAGATATTGGCAGGGAGAGAAGATTTCCAGACTATGCTAGGGGCCAAAGAAAAGTTGGAAATGACCACTTGTCATTTGGAAAGATAACAAAAATAACAAAAAATCAGATCCCTACCTTTGCATTCAGAACTCGAGTTCTTTTTTTTTTCCCAAAGATTTTATTTATTTATTTGACAGAGATCACAAGTAGGCAGAGAGGCAGGCAGAGAGAGAGGGGAAAGCAGGCTCCCTACTGAGTTGAGAGCCCAATGCGAGGCTCGATCCCAGGATGCTGAGATCATTACCTGAGCCAAAGGCAGAGGCTTAACCCACTGAGCCACCCAGGCACCCAGAACTCGAGCTCTGAGACTCATCCTCATTTATTATCAAATCTGAGAGAGAAGAGATCTTTAGTGTGAAGGTACAACCACCAGTGAGCAGAAGGGAGGTGTGCCAGGCACTACCTGGAGGCCAAATGAGTACCCTGAATGAGAAATAAGGACCAAAACAGCCCAGGAAGGAGAGGGCTCCACACAGCTCTCAGTTGGGGACCCCCAACAGGGATAGGGAGTAAGAAACTGCTAGTTTACTTCTTCCTCTGGGGTCTCTGGCTTTTGTTTGAGATATCGACTTCACAGCAATAGAATAGAGGAGGCCCAGGACCTGTGGAGAGTTGACAAGATGATCTTGAAATTGAACTGAGAAACCCTGGCAGCCCAGAATAGAGGTTCCCCACTGGCAGCCTCTGATGTCACTCCAGTACACCCCAGGCAGGGCTGGCAGATAGCAGTCTAAGGTTCCCTTTAATTTCCTCTGTAGGGTTCTCAAGGGACAGGCTGACTAGAACAGGAACCTTGTGGGTTCCTGGAGCAGTACCTTCAAGTAAACCTGTAGAGGCAGCCTTGGTTAAAGCCAAGGTGGAATCTTCCTACTGAAGGTGCTCACATCATCTCATTCTCTTTCCTTCAGGGGTCCACATCTCCTGATCTCTTGCCTGACACTCTAGTGTCATCATGCCTCGGAGACAGAAGAATAAGCTCCGGGCTTCTGAGAAACGCTGCCGGGCTCGAGCTGAGGCTCAGGGTGAGGGTGCTCAGGCCACAGTAGCGGTGGAAGAGGAGTCCACTTCCTCCTCTCCTCCTCAGAGTGAAGATACTACCCAGAGTCTGCCTCCTGCTGGGTCAAGTAGCACTTTTCAGGGGCGTCGAAGAGCACAAGCCATCACCATTACTTCTACAGCCAATATGTGCACTAGATCTGATGAAGATTCCAACAGCCAAGATGAGGATAGGGCAAGCCCCTTTGAGGTCCCATACTACACTGAGAGTGCAGGTGAAGATTCTTTAATCAGGAAGCCTGGATTGCTGGAGCAGTTCCTTCTGTACAAGTATAAAATGAAACAACCCATTTTGAAGGAAGACATGCTGAAGATTATTGGCCAAAATTACGAAGACCAATTCCCTGAGATCCTCAAGAAAGCCTCTGAGCGCATTGAGATTGTCTTTGCAGTTGATCTGAAGGAAATCGACTCAACCAAACAATCCTACGACCTCATCAGCAAGCTCAAACTCCCCAACAATGGGAGGGTGCGAGCTGGTAGGGGGCTACCCAAGACCGGTCTCCTGATGAATATCCTGGGAATGATCTTCATGAAGGGCAACTGCGCTGCTGAGGAAGACATCTGGAAATTCCTGGGTATGATGCGAGTATATGCCGGGAGGAAGCATTTCATCTATGGAGAGCCCAGAAAGCTCATCACCAAAGATCTGGTGCGTCTGGAGTATCTAGAATACCGCCAGGTGGCCAACAGTGATCCTCCACGCTATGAGTTCCTGTGGGGTCCGAAAGCCCAAGCTGAAACCAGCAAGATGAAAGTCCTGGAATTTCTGGCAAAAGTTAACGATACCATCCCCAGCGCTTTCCCGTCCTATTATGAAGAAGCTCTGAAAGATGAGGAAAAGAAAGTCCAAACCAAAGCCATGGTCAGGGCTGGTAATATTGCCAAAGTCCTTGTACCTTCCAGGCCCATGCCCCAGAATATCTTCCCACCCCTAGTGAAATCTGAGGTCTGTTATCCTCAAGATAAGAAAACATAAATTCACAATAGGGATTATATTATTAGCAATGTGAAAGAAACCCATAGTAAAGTAGTAAGCATAATGGAATAGAAAAAAAAATTAAACATGGTTATTCGAGTTTTTACTTGTTCCCTTTAGTCTTTAGTGTTACAAAATTAAAGGATTTACACTTCAGTTTTGTTAGTTTGTTCAAGAAAGAAATTAAATCTTAAGAAATTATATTTTGTGTTTATTGGCTGTTCTGTTCGTCACACAGTGAGTATCTGCTCACGGGAAAGCTTAGTGTTAGGAGTGTGGACGCGAGTATAAAGGAAACCCAGCCTCTACTCACAGAATTTTAAAAAGACTTTGAGCTTCATTCATACAAGTAAGCTGATGAAATATCCTCTGTGGCCCACAGACTTATCTGTCAAAGGAATGGGTGAGGAGGAGGGTAATCATTGTGAGAATAATTAAGTGGAAATTTCCTGAGCAATGCGGTTTGGAACTTTAGGAACTTGCCAGCCCTCAGTGGGATCTAATTTTCATTTCTGGTGTGTGGTGGGCTAGCTGAGGTTGTGGAATTGGTGGGTAGAGGCCAGACTCCTCAGTGCTACACTTGAGAATTGCAGGACACTACCCTGCGTTAGTCTGCTCTGGCTGCTATAACAACATACCAAGGACTGGGTGACCTAAACAACAGACATTTTGACCATGATGGAGGCTGGGAAGTTCACAATCCAGGTGCCAGCAGATTCAATTTCTGGTGAGAGCCCTCTTCCTACCTTACAAATGGCTACCTTCTCCATGTGTCTTCACATGGCAGAGAGAGAAAGTTCTGGTTTCTCTTATTCTTAGGAGAACACTAATTACATCATGGGTGTGCTATCCTCATGAACTCATCTAAACCAAATTATCTCCCAAAGTGTCCACCTTCAATTACCTTCAGATTAGGTGTTAGGGCTTCAACATATGAATTTTGGTGGGGGGTGTGTGTGTGGGAAAGGGCATAAACATTCAGTCTATAACAGAAAACTGGTGCTACCAGTTTACTTTGGGATTATGGGTAAACCAAAGAGAAGTCACCATCTGGGACAGGAAAGGAAGGTGTCATTTGTTCTTATTTAAGTGCAGATGAATACAGCAGGCAAAGTAGGTAATCTATGCACAACATCCTCATGAAGTTTCTCAGAAATAAGGGTAAGAAGGGTGCCTGGGTGGCTCAGTGGGTTAAGGCCTCTGCCTTCGGCTCAGGTCATGATCCCAGGGTCCTGGGATGGAGCCCTGCATTGGGCTCTCTGCTCAGCAGGGAGGCTGCTTCCCCCCCACCCCTCTCTCTGCCTGCCTCTCTGGCTACTTGTGATCTCTGTCTGTCAAATAAATTAAAAAAAAAAAAGTTAAAAAAAGAAAAAGAAGGGTGAGAGCCCCTTCAGGTGGGATGCCACTGTGCTGGCACTGCTTGCCCTGAGTTGGGAGAGCCAGAGCCTGCTCCATTAAAAGGGCATTTTAATTAGATTATCTTGAATATAATTTGGCAAACTCTGAGCAAGGGCTAGCTCTTGTTAAGGGTGTAATGAATGTTAACAGTGGTCATTTGGGAGGACACTTAGAAGGGATGGGAGGGCCTGTACCTTGAGACCAATTGTAGGAACCTGAGTTGCATCCAACTGAGAAAAACAACTCCATGCCTGAATTAAATGACATATGATCTAATAGGGAAAATGTAGTTACTTTTACTAGCTAGGGCAAATTTTTGGTTGCCTGTGTTCTTTGAGAATACTGCATATTCTCTGATACTTTCTGGATTTAAAAAAAAAAATAAGAGGGGTGGGTGGTATAATTGGGATCAAAATAATATTAATTACCATTTTAAAAATACTGGGTAATATTTGCTAGTCATCTTGTCATGTGGTTATGTGTATATATTCCAAATGAAAGAGTTTACCAAACTCACTTGGGTGATGCAGAACTTGCAATTTTCTCAAGTTTACAAGAATGGCCCATATCAGAGCTGGGACTAGACACCTGGCTTGAATTTACCTAAAGGCCACATGGTTCCACTTCTCCCAATGCAAGACAGACCTTATATACTCACTATACCAAAATTTTTCTCAGGTACTACAAAGGCATTTGAACTCAAAGTACTGAAAGCAGGCCTACTGAAGGGAAAATAGACATAAAAATAAATCATAATTTGGAGATTATCCTTCGTTTCCTTTTTCTAGGATCCTACTGAAAGCTAACTCTGCCCCAGACCTGGTATTTTGTCCAGTTCCAGCAACTTCAGTCATTACAGCACCCTTCACCAGGGACTTCCCAATGTGCCCTCCTTCCAACTCTGGAACCTGACCTTCTGACCAGTTCTTCGCTGTGGCCTCCTCTGATGGCTGCTCGCTGTTCTTAGTGGAGCAGAAAACCTGTATTAACTGCTCGTGCCCTAACTTAGAGCATTCCAACTCCTTGGCGGTCACTTGCTTCACCATATCATCTTTATATGGTGTTTATGTGGTAATATGGAGATCTTCATTTCTTTCTCTCTCTCTCAACACACCTGAGATTGCCTTCTCCAAATGTTAAACCTTTTAATAGATGGTTTAAATAGCTTCTGCATGTAAATTTATGAATCATTTTCTTCACACATTTATTAACGTGTATCAAGTTTACAAGTAAGGTTTTGTATTTTGTAAATCAAATTGGAAGACCTTCCCAATTATTCTGAATCCAGAACAGGACAACAGGGCATCAGAATAGGTGCTACTTTGGGAATATAAAATAACTCTGTAGGAAAATTATCTGGATCAATAAAAAGAGCAAAATAGGGACGCCTGGGTGGCTCAGATGGTTGGGCCGCTGCCTTCGGCTCAGGTCATGATCCCGGCGTCCTGGGATCGGGTCCCGCATTGGGCTCCTTGTTCTGTGGGGAGCCAGCTTCTCCCTCTGCCTGCCACTCTGTCTGCCTGTGCTTGCTCGCTCGCTCTCTCTCTCTCTCTCCCTCTCTGACAAATAAATAAAATCTTTAAAAAAAAAAAGAGCAAAATAAAGTAAAAGATTATCAATTCCTATCTTCCTTATCTTGTCTAGACTGTTGTTCAGTAAAACTTAATGGCACATACCTGGATTTGCTTACTTAAGAATTTATAAGAAATTAAATCTTAAATAAATTGGAAAATATGTTCATTTATTCTCTTAATATTAAGCAGGCATCTGCTCTCAGAAATACACTCTGCCATTGCTGGAGACGCTAGGATTTTGGGGGTGGGGTGGGGAGGATGTCTAGGAGCAATAATCTTATATGGATGATAGTAAGGTATTATAGTAAACTAGAAGGACAATTAAAAAGAGAGTGAAAAGGGGCACCTGGATGGCTCAGTCGGTTAATCCTCTGACTTTTGATTTCAGCTGGGGTTGTGATCTCGGTGTTGTGGGATTAAGCCCTGCATTAGTCTCCTCACTCGGCACGGAGTCCCCTTCTCTCCCTCTCCCTTTTCCTCTGTTCTTCCCCATACTTAATGCATTTCTCTCTCTCTCAAATAAATAAATACTTAAATTAAGGGGGGGGGGGTGTTGGAGTCCAGATGAGCACAGTGAGGTGGCAGGTAGGAGGAAATGTTATGTTTGGAAAACTGCACTTCTTCAATGAGACTGAAGTTCAGGTTTAGCAATGTGAGCTAAGACTGTGGGAGTAGGCCAGTTCTTCACATGAAGTGTTGAAAGACTGAGAAACAAACTTGGAGTGAAAATGGCTTTTGAATCTTGGATAAACTATGAAGAAACTTTCCATTGGCTGAGGTAAGGTAGGCATTCTTGACTCCTTTTCACTGCATTGTAATACATTGTGTAAAGTCCTATATCTCATGCGCATAACAAAACCTGCACAATTTTCGGTAAGTTATCTTATCATTTTACTTGATACAAGATACATTTAAAAATTTCTCTTGCGTTTTCTTTTTACACTCGTGTAATTTATTAGTGTTTTATTTAACCTTCATGCTTTGGAGATTTTCCAGTCATCATTTTCTTAGTGATTTCAAGTCTAATTCCATTATTGTCTGAAATAGAAACTACATGATTTCCATTTTTTAAGTATTTGTTAGATGCGCTTCATGGCCCAGAATGTGGTTTATCTTGGTGAGTGTCCCATGGGAGCTTAACAAGAATGTGTATTCTGCAGTCGGATGAAGTAGTCTATAGATGTTAATCATATCCAATTGACTTATGATGCTAATGAGTTCAACTATGTCCTTATTGATCTTCTGCCTGCTGGATCTTTTCATTTCTGATACATAAAGTTGCAGAAGTCTTCAACTATTCTCACAGATTCATCTACTTTTTCTTACAATTTTTGCCTCATACATTTTGATATTCTGTTCTTAGGCACATAGCCATTAAGATACTGTTATGTAATCTTGGAGAATTAACACTTTATTATGTAATGCCCTTCTCTAGCCCTGATAACTTTCCTTGATCTGAGCTTTGCTCTGTGTGAAATTAATACACCTACTCCCATTTTCCTTTGGTTAATAATACCATGGTATATCTTTCTTCATTCCTTAACTTTTAATCCATGTGTCTTTATATTTAAGGTGGGTTTGTTGTAAACAATATGCAATTGAGATTTGTTTGTTGATCATACAGATATTCAATCTTTTAACTGGTGTTTTCAGTTTGTTGATATTCAGTTCAAAATTATTATTAATATCTACCATATTTGTTATTGTTTTCTATTTATTGACCCTTTTCTATTTTCTTATTTTTGACTTATGCTCTTTTTCTGTCTTTTGCAATTTTTAAGGTTAATAAACTTGATTGGGGGAATCATTACACAAGATAAATGTATACCAAGACATCACATTGCACACATTAAATAAACACAATGTGTATTTGTCAATCACATCTCAGTAAAACTGGAAAAAATCAGACATTTTTTATGATGCCATTTCTCTCCTTTCTTAGCATATAAATTCTCAATTTTTAAACATCTTTTCAGGGGTCACCCTAGTGTTGACAATATATATTTATAAGGAATCCAAGCTCACTTTGAAATAAAACTGTATATGGGGTGCCTGAGTGGCTTAGTCAGTTAAGTGGCTA